ATAGTATTTTCTTGTCAGTAAGTTTTTTCTGAGTGAGGCTTTGGTTTCAAAAGCTCTTTCAGAGAAGAGATAACTACTGTATCACATAACCCGTCTCCACTTTGTCACATCATGTGTCCCCAGCACTTGGCTTGTAAGAGTTCCAGAACTTGTTGGGTCTCCATGTGGTGAGTGAGTGACTCAGCTCAGTGATGTGGCTGGGGAAAAGCTTGGTTAAATTTCTGATTTATTCTGATCACAGGCTGGGGAAAAGCTTGGTTAAATTTCTGCTGTGTTATGGGTGTGTTAGGTGGTCCCACAGAGAGGGGTGTCGAGGAGCTGAGGCAGCCTTTGGAGGCTGTGGGTGCAGGCAGCATGAGAACAGCTATGGACAGAGCTGAGAGGAGTGGGGAAGAAGGACAAGGACTAGGACTTTTTTTTGGCATCACAAATTTGTTAAATGGACTCAGCTACTTTTGGAACCATAATGTGTATTTAACGGAAAGCAATTGTATGCGTACATGGGTGTCATTATTCACACAAGTCACTTGATTATTTATTTTACTTTTTCTTTGACCTTGGCCTCAAGCTATTACAAAGATGGAATGATAGCTGTGTTTTGTCTTCATTATTTTAGCAAATATTTTAGAGCATTCAAAACAATTATTGTAATACAGAGGGGATGGTTATGGTGCAGTGTGAAGTGGTGATATGTGAATTGTTATTAAATGAAACACTAGTTCTTGAAAAGTCTACACAGCTTCTATTGTTGTGACAAAACAAAATTAGGACAGTTATGCAACAAAAAGAGGACCGTTAAATTTTAAAAATAAATAATGATAATCTGTATTATTGAGTATGCATTAGACAGTTCACTGCAGATCAAGTACTGTTAAAAATTGTCATTTCAGGCCAAGTGTTCATGTTTGAGTTGCCACTTCACTTTCCATTGTAGCTGACAATGTGAAAATCCCTGATATTTCACTTTCCCACAAAGGAAATACTGTGCATCATTAAGGTGAGCTCAATCCATCTCTCACTCAAGTCAGTAGTGATTTCCTACTGACCTCTGTAGGATTGGCTTTAGCCCTGTGATGGAACTTTCCTGTGTTTTGCCAAGATCCACCACTCTATTTTCCTATTTTTTTCCATATGTAAACCCTAGATAGATGCAGTGATATTTATGCAGCAGTATTACCAGATGGCTTTTGAATCATCTGTTCTCAATGAAAAATGAAAAGACTGGGCACATATATAAAGGCTGAATTAATCTTTGTAATGAAATGGAACATTACTTTGCCATGAATGATTTTAGCTTTCACAATGTATTTCATGCTAATTTTTCAGTGAACTGTAATTGTATTAATTTTTTATATATTTAGAAGCTTAAAAATGATCTTCACAAAGTTATTGAGTAAGTTAATATACAGAAGATCTCTGTCAGACTCATAAAACTTTGTTGTGAGATATATGTTTTGTTTTGTTTTCTCTTTACAGTAAGTAAAATATGTCAGTACTTAGTGTTGTATAAAATATCCAAGTTATACTCTGAGAGGCAAAAAGGCTCTCAGGATGTCACGTGCTTGGTTGTCAAGTGAGAATTTGAATAGGCTAGGAACTGGGCTGCTTTGGAGCACTGAAACACGTGTGCATTCCCACGTTGGCAGGTTGTTAAGCAGAGTGAAAGCTCCTTTATTATCTTGTCTGTGTAGTAAAATGACTCGCAATGCTCTGCCTGTGACAGAAAGACACTGATGGTAAAATCCTGGCTGTGTTGAAGTCAGTGGGGAAACTCCCATGCACAAGGAGAGGTGGAATAGTCCCACTCTGGCTCCTCTGCCTTACAGCCTGCTCTCCCTGGCTGCTGGGATAGGAAGGAGTTGTCATGACTTACCCTGAAGCACCCTGCAGCATTGAGTTTCCTTAATTTACCCAGCAGCCCAACTCAGCTGAGTGTTTAATGATGCCAGGGGGAAGTACCCCCGTCCCTCTTTTCTTCCTGCACACATGGCTATTTAATATGCAAATTAGAGAGAGGAGTGAAATGAGCCTTTAAACCATAAAAAGTTGTTCATCATGGATTTATGGGGGATTCATGTGCAACAACCACATGGCTGGTTCCTGTACATTTGGCACATTTCATTTGACTCCCTGTGCTTGCCTCCTGGAAGGCTGCTCTCTTATACATACTTTTAATCCTATCAAGGGGAAAATAATGACATCATTATCAAAGAGTAAGCAAGCTGTAGAAGAGTTTTCTACTTCCTTGTGCTATATAAATAAGGAATCTCCCAACTGCTGTTAAATATTACACAAGTGAACAGAAAAATAGGCACAGAAACAAAACTTCCGACATGCAAATTTAGAAACCTGCTCTCAATGTGATACTTTCTAACTTTTCAGTTGTGTAAATAAATTGTGCTGCGCTCTGCTGAAAAGGTTTGCACCGATGCGAAGCTTCTAGGAGGAATCCCAGTCAGAGGAATTCCCAAGGACTTCAGAATGCTTCCTATGTTCTCTCATGAGTTTTACTTTGGCTATAGGAAACAGTTTATCTAACCAAGAGCCAAACATCCTTCACTGTCAGCATCAGCTTTGTCTGTCTTACTTGCTCAGATCTCTAAACCACACATATTGTGGTAATGCCTTTTATTTAACAAATGCAATAATACAACATTTCCCCCTTATCTACATATCTATTTGGCTATCTATCATCTATCTGTCTGTCTGTCTGTCTGTCTGTCTGTCTGTCTAGCTATCTATCTATCTATCTCACAGAATACAATCAGCTTTAGACATACAAGGCATCAAAATACTAAAAGCAGCATTACCTTTTGAGGTTGATTTCCAAAATCTCAAGATACGCTCTGTTATTTACTAGGGTTTTTCATAGACTTTATAGAAAATCTCCATAGTGTCTGACTATTTTATTCTCATGCTTAGAAATCTCAGTCTCACAACATCAAATGTGAAAGTCACAAAGCAAATGAGGAACTCATGCAGAACATTTGAGATCCACCTGATTTAAGTAGCTGACTTAGCAGAAATTAAAACTGTTGGGTTTTGCTTTTTCCTTTTCCAAAGCTAGTTTTAACTAGTATTGAAACATGGGAAATGGTAAAGGAAATTTTCTGTTTCCTTGCAAAGTTCAGTCAGTTGGACTCAACAACACCACCAGGAAAAATTGAGACATTCTTGATTACATACAAACTTGCAGATGAATCGTCCTCCCTTTCTGGCTTTTTGTTCTCCCTCCCCATCACAACCTTTAAAATATCATGAAAGACTGCTGAACCTTCTGGCAAAGTGAGGAAACATTCTGTTGAGAGTTAATTTGGCTCATTTCATATTTTCCATTCAGCATTTTTCTTCCATTGCTTTTTTTATTACTACGGCAATTTGCATGACAATGGGATCTTTCTTGCTTAAGAGATTGTCTGCTCCTGCTGCTAATTTCCTACCTGAAGTTGTTATCTTCTGTTTGTGACATCTTAATTATCTCAACCACAATTAATTGTGATGTCACAAATGGAGGATTATGACTTTGGGTTGGAAGTGAGATTGAGAAATTGAAGGAGTTTGAAGAAGCAAATAGGCTTTTCTTCTTGAAAAATAAAAGAGGAGACAGAATGACTTTGGTTAAATGGAAACAATCCTCCATCACCTTTTTTCTGAAAGTTGTGGAACAGCTGGTTTTACGTTTTGCTGTATAGGAGGCCCTGCTGTATTGAGATGCTGTGAAGTGGGAGAAAGGGAAAGGCTGTGTGGAGGAAGGGGACTCTTCTCTTGAGCAGTCAGTCCCTGAAGCAAAAAGGAATAAAAGTTGTTGGACCCTAAAAAAGACCAGGCCCTGCTCATAGAGAGCAGAATGTAGGATTGGTACAGTTGTACTTGGTTTAAAGGCCAATCATTTATTGTTTTTCATATCTTGCAATATTCATTTGAGTTTTGACATCAGAGTCTGATGACCACAGAGGAGCATTTTTTGAATGGAGGGAATTCCAAAGACTTATGGAGAAATTATATTCAGCATCATGAAAATACAAAAAAATGAAAGTTTTGTGCTAACCTAGTCTATCATAGCTGTAATTTATCCTATGGACTTGTCACATTTCACTTCTTGGTGTGTCATCTTATCTTTTTGTGTACCTCTGCTTTTCTTCTGGAAACTTGTTCCCACAGAGATTCTGGGTGTCTGAGTGGCCTCCTGGTGGTTTTGTGGGGACATTACCAAGGCCATTTATAAACTCACACCATGATGTACAAAGTGGGAATACTCATCTGCAGCTACTTCACACTGGACTATTTGCACAGGTTGTGCATAAATGCTGGGACCAAATCACAACTGAAAGAGGGTTAATGAAAATTGAAGTGTCTTATTTTAACACCTCTACTGGCATTAGGGAAAGAGCAAAGACTGCAAAGAAAGGGAGGGAAACTGGGTAACTACACACAGACCAGTCCTGTGGTTTTCAGAAAGTACAGTGTCCTTGAGAACAGGACCCATCCTCAGGTGCAAATGGAAATGGCCCTCAGTGGAAACGCCAGGCTGCACTTGCTGGGATCAAGCTTGATTCACATCTGTGCATCAAATCTGTTTTAGCAGTTGGATGTGTACCAGCTACTGTGCCATAGCAAAACAGGCCATTTCCTGTTGTCCTTTGGAAAACAGTGTACAAACAGGCATTTGACCATCTGATTAGCACAAAAACCTGTTGGGAAAATCAGCTGTTGAGGTTTTGCACTCAGACACGTCGCTGTAAGTACGCAAGAGCTCTGCAGGCAGTGACAGACCCACTGTGATAATCTGACAGCAGAATCTGGACCCTCTGCCTTGTGATGCCGAGCTCATTTGTGGCACCAAGTTTACCTTGTAGGCAGGTTGCTTTGAAGTTACATTAGGATGGCTCCAGGAAAGCATAATAATACCAAGTGGAAACTGAGCAAGAAAGAAAAAAAGCTGTATGCTGAGAAGTGGTTTTATCTGTCAAAACCTTTTTTCTTCTTTTTCTTTTTCAAAGGCAAAAGCAGTTATGGCAAAAGTTGGGTACCCTCAGTTTATAATGAATGACACATATATTAATGAAGACATCAAAACAGTAAGTGTCAGGCTTGCAGCTTTATTCATTTATTGCAGCCATTCTTTGCTCTGTTTTGCTGCTGTCTAAAGTCAAAGCTAGTCTTTTGTTTGGCATGCTTGCTTGGTTATTTTTATTTTAGTTTTGAAGTGTGCTAGCTCTAAATTTTATCTAAATAGTCAATGCTGTTATATCTGAGATCATGAGGCCTGCTGGGAGTAAATTCTGTCTGGGTGAAAAGAACCTTCCTGCTATTAAGCATTTTAAAGGTTAAGCATACACTGTAATGATTTTGCATTTAGTTATAAAAATGGACCGTACCAAAAGCATTTTTTCTCAAAATAATGATTTTCAAAAAGCCTAATGCAATTTACCTCAGAATATCACAATTTAGGATGCCTTATATAAGTTCTCCTCATATCTACAGGCTATGAATTTAATTTACAATTGATGCTTATAATCATGCCAAGAGGTCCTAAGCAATGTATAGGCCTATTGTGCTGCCTGCTGGACAATGATACCGTGGGGGGACTCCTTCCTGCCCCAGCACCTGTTCAGTCTAACTAAGGCAGGAAGGCAAATGATTAATAATAATAATAATAATAATAATAATAGTCATCATCATCATCATCATCATCATTTTACTACTTTCCAACTGTGGCGTGCATTTGATGAATTGTATTACTGAAAGTCACAGGCAAACTAGATATACAAGTTCAATCCTGAAGCAGTAAAATACAAGAGCCATCATCATCGTTGCCAGAGCACATGCACAAACACTAAACTGAGGTATCGTTTATTGGGAGAACCAACTCCACCAGCCTAGTCCTTGTCCAGGGAAGCTGTAGGGTGAGATGATACAGTGAAAACAGTGCAATGAGACAGAGCATGTGACCAAGTCTATCACTACCACTATGCCAAGTGTATGGCATTATTTGCACAGATAAATGGCAATGGCTGGTGAAAAATACTGGTTAATCATGCTTGCAGACCCAAAGTTTACATCTGAAGAGCAACTTCCTCGCAAATCCTAGAATTGTTTTAAACTGATGAAAGGGATTTATAACATATTAACATCCCTTTTCCTTGCCTGCTTAGTTTTGTGTGTGTGAATGCTATTAGATTTGGAAACTTAAGGAAGCATGGAGCCCTATGGCTGTAAATATTTAATGGGGTAGAACTCTCAGAAGGCACAGAATATGAAGTATTTTTTATAAAATGTAAAGCAAACTGAAAAAGGGACTTCATTACATTGTTGGAAGTGGTTTTAAAATGCACTTTTAAAAATAAAAGTAACCCTACTTCCTCCTGGGAAAGAGGCTTGCTTAATAATAGCCATGGAAATGTGCAGTCTGCAATGCACTGTTGGGTGCTTATGATTCCTTCAGCAGCACTCTGCACAATGAAGAGTTTTCCCAGTGTTCCAGACCCTTGTGCAGATCTGTTCAGCCGCTGGTTTTTTTAACTAAGCTCATAAAATATTTATTCTTCCTACCAAGTGTGAAAATTTTACTTGCTTTGATAATCGCAAAAAAAATTAGGTAATTATCTTGTATAAAATAAAAGTTCTGCTTGTTTTATGTCAGCTTTTGTTTCTTTGGACATGCTTTAAAAATGTCTGTGCTTTCTTGGTACAGCTGAAGTTTACAGAAAGTGATTATTTTGGCAATGTATTGCAAACTCGCAAATATGCAGCCCAATCTGATTTCTACTGGCTTAGAAAAGAAGTTCCAAAAACAGAGTGAGTAGACAAAAGGCAAATTTACATAATCTTCTAACAATATTTTAATTTGTATTATTTAATTTAGATATTAAATACTGTTATATATTAAGTTTTAATAGAATCATGTTAACAGCAATGTATTATGCCACAAAAAGCCTATGGGCAAACTCTCATTATTCAGAAACTCCTGTGAATTTTCTTTTTGAAGGTATCCCTGTTCATATGCAGAGTAGTCATGTGCTTGAAGCTCAAACTTAATTTAATGAAAAAAGGGGTAATTGAATTGCAATTAAAAATGGATTATGTCTCTTGGTCACAGTTAGAGTTTGAAATGGTACAGTGGGGATTTATGAACTGAATTCTGTAGGAATGAAATCATAGTAAGACATAATGCTATTATTAGAAATACAAATCAGCATTGTTACTTACCTGCTGTTGATAGCAATGATACAGAATGAAACATAATTTACTCTACCTATGTTATTTTTATTTATTTGTAAACATAAGAGTGCAGATTGTGTCACAAACTTTCATAAAATACATAAGAGAATTATTCTCTTTTCTTACTGGTGGGTAATCAAATCCTTTAAATGCAAATTAAAACCTAAGCAGAACTTAATTAGTCTAATCATGCTACTTAAAAATGACTTCTTCTACACACAGACTTTGAAATCAGTGCCAGTGCTTAGCTCCAGTGGTTTTATTTCATTAGGACTCCAGAAACCCTGCTCAAACTGAACCATGCCTTTTTCTGGGGGTGGCTCTGTGCTGTCCATGAGGCAGGAGGACAAACTAAGGTTGCTCATGGTTGAAGTGCTTTAATTTGGCCCTGTGTGTTCAAAGTGTCATTTATAGCTTAGCTTTAATTGTGAATTTTACCTTATCACAGCTTTCTCTGACATGGCACTGGTCAGCCCTGGGGTATGATTTTAGGGGTATGACCATGATGGTGTGTTCTCTTCAGGGCAGCAGTTCCAAGAGAGCAGTGGAACAGCTCTGGCCTCTACATAGCTCTGGCCAGCCTTGGGGCAGCCAGCACTGGTGCAGCACCTGTAGACTCTTGGCACAATGGGAAAGTTCTCCTGAGGGGAAATCAAGTGGCAGGCAGCCCCTGAGTCCAGGACTGTATTCTGAGAGCTGTCACATGGGCATGCTTAAAGAAATGAAAGTGTTATCCAATTGCCCTCTACAAGATTGAACCCTTCTCATGCCTGTCCTACCCTCTTATTCCCAGGACTACATAATAGCCAGGCCCTCATCACCTTTGTAGCTCTTTTCTTGTCAGTCCTCAGAGCACATTCAGGCCTGGGGGGTGCCAGTTTGATTTCTGGTCCCTTCCCTTTGTTAGCACAGCTATTTGCTCTGCCTTCTGCAGGGCTGGAGGTAATCTCACCTAAGCCCTGGCAGGGAGGGATAATTAGGGCTCCTGCTGGGATATTATTCTGTCTCTGCAACTGTTCAGTGGTAGAAAAGGGCTCTGAAAGTGGCGTCACTCTGCCTGCTGAGGGACACCAAGGCACAGAGACATTGCTGCCTCCAGAAATTTTTAAAAATTTATTTAAATAAACCAATAACTCCCACTTACCAGTCCAAGTCATGTCAAACCTGGCCTCAAAAATATCAACCGCTTTTTAGCTACTTCCCACTTTTAAATCATCATACTCCACTGCTTTCTGATGCTTTTACCTTCTTTTTTTTCCTCCCATTTTTCTGTTTTCGTTTTTTAAACTTTTACATTTCATATATCTCCACAGAATTTTTGATGAGGCTTGGTGCTATGTTAATAGCTAATTACCCTTGGGTTTTTGTTTCTATTTGCTTCATTTCTTCTTTTCCCTAGTTTAGTAGCTTTTAGCATAACATTTATATTTCAAGATAGATATTATAAGATCATCAAAGTTGTGGACCAAAAAAGATAAATAAGAAAATGAGTGTTTAAGGAAATAAAATAAAAGTTGCTAAAATAATATTATACCCAAAAGGTAAAACACTATATTCTTTTAGCAGATAGTCCATGTTTCTCAATAATTATTTCAAACTGGAATCACTTTCCTCAGCTAAATGTGAAATTAAAATGGCAGTTCAATCAAAGCACCAGGGAAAGATGATCAGGGGATGGACAGAGATGAGAGATACAAGACAAAGCAGTTGGATAAAACAAGGGGGAATGTGGATAACTGTGGGAACCCAGAACATCCCTCTGGCTGTCCTGAGCAGCCAAGACCCCTGCAAGGGGCTCAGAGACCCTGGCATGGAGCCCAAAACACCTGTGGGTTTCATTATGATCCGTGGAGCAAATTACCAGCCTTAGATGAAGATTAGCAAGCCACAAAATTTTAGGTAGAATAATAGTGAAGTTATCACAGGGTGGAAAAGTAGATTTTAGGGTTTCTGGAACGGGGGTTCAGGGGGTAAGATGGAGGGATCTGGGCATGTCCAGCCTTTCTCCTTCTTCTTCTTGGCCTCCACCTTCTGCTGTGATGTTGGCACTTTAGATTGGTTTAGAGTAGAAGCTCACTGTCTAACATAGGTGATAGGTATTGGAAAGTAATTGTAAACATTGTACACGTAGTTTTTAGTATAAAGACATAACACCGCCCCAGGGGCACTCCAGAGTGCCTGGAACTGTCCTGCTGGACAGACCTCGGCAGGGCAGGAGAAAATTTTTTATAGATAAGACACAATAAACAACCTGAGACAAAGAACTGAAGAGCTCTGACTCCTTCTTCAAGCTCTTGGGCTGGGAAAAGACACTTTTAACATTCCTGGGGTCACAACGACCAAAAGATCCCGAGAGATAACAAAGTGGAAAAGAATTGTTTGGAAACTCAACAGTTTTTAATTTGAAAAAAAGAAGGAAAAAAACCCCCTGAATCAGGAGTAATTATAAAAATCTTTGTTCTCTCTTCTGTTCCCTCCATCCCTGGCATTTATCTGCCTGACAGGAGAGGGGAACTCAGATGAGCTCTCATTGCTCAGGGCATGGGTGCTGTGCCACACTCAGCCCTACTGGTTCCCTAAAGCTGTGAAAGGGCTCTGGGGTGCTGGAGCTGCCCTCCTGCCAGTCCTGGGGCCAGGCTCCCCTGGGGACACCACAGCTCTGGGAGGTGTCACCTGTGCTCCACACCAGCCCTGGTGCCAGCTGCCATCCTCACAGCTGGCCGGGGAGGCGACTGTCACCTGCACAGCTGGCTCTCTCCAACAAGAAAAAGGTGCTCAGGTATCAGCAGAGAGAAAAATGAAAAGGATTTGTGCAGGAGCTGAGGAATGTGGTGCACACACCAGCCCAGGTTAGGTTGAGAGGGCCCAGGGGAGAGTCTGGAAGGGGCTGTGTGGGAAGGTGGGCACCAGGTGTGAGGACAATCATCATAAGCCAGGGGAGATACAGCTGGAGCAGAGGAAAGTGAAAAGCAATGCAGGGATAAGTGATGGCATGGGAAGGGAAAAATTAAGGAAAGTCAGGGTTTAGTTGCATTTGCCTATCCTTCCATGGAGTCACACACACTCATACTTACAAATATCCGTGTGTGTGTGTGTGTGTGTGGGTACAAACACATGCCTGCACCTTTTAATCAGAGACAGACTCTGTCCTTCTTAACACTGATATCATACTTGCAAATAACAAAGCATCAGAGGACTTCTTGGCCCCACCACTTGATTATTATCCATCTTTCTCCTTTGAAGTCAGCACATAATCTAAGATTTTTAGACAAATCTTAGCCAAATCTTTCTCCATTTTTCACTAGACTTTCAGAGCTGGGGATGTAGATGTCTGGTGTCCCAACAACAGGATACAAAGGAATCCTTATTTTTCTTGACCACACACTATTGTGTGTAAGCCCTGGCTCTTAGTTTGATACAAGGGAGGGCAGCTCTGAGAGGTTCTGGGTTGGATACTTCTAAGGATGGTGTAAAAGCTCCTTCTGCAAAAAGGGAAAAGCAGCCATCAAAAACACTGAGCAGGCTGCTGTCTGTTGGAGAGATGATGCTGGAAATAGTGTGACTGGAGAGGAGAGGCTGGAAAGGAGCCTCCTGGAGCCTTTTTCTGGTCTTTGAACCTCATTTTAAGCAGTGATGTGGCACTGAAGGCTGGGCCCAGCCTTACCATCCTAGCTGCTTGCCCATTCCTAAGGGAGACAGATGGCAGCCTGGCCTGAGATAATAATCTGTTTCTAGACGGGAAAATATAGAAGAGACTAACAATGAGAAGAGGAAATGCAATTTTGAAAGTCACCTTGAAGGTTGCCTCCCATACAGAAGTTTTTCTTCATAGTGTTTTCTTTGGAAGACATTTTCCAGCTTCCACAAACTTTGTACAGCTTTTCACTTCTAACCAGCTTAATTCTTTGTGCATTCACAAGTTAATTTTCTTTGTTTACATGATTATTTATTTTTTATTTCTTACTTTGAATGTTGAACTGAATTATTTCTTTCAAAAGACTGAGGATCAATTTGCAAATTCAGTTTGTGCTTTACAGAGAATTAAATAAATGAATAAGCTTTTTTCTGTGCTGTAAATATTCCCAACCATCCCTGTTCATGAATGGCAATACAGCACACTATACTCTTAACACAGAAAGAAAATATCAGAGGAAATTTCAGCCTCAAGAACACAGACTAAGAGAGTTTCTGCCCCAATTGCTATCTCAGTGTCTGTTTCACATTTTATTTTTACAAGAGAAATCTCAACCTTACAAGTGACAACTCTGCCGAATTAGGTTTTGACTGCTGCAGAAGTAGATAGGTAATGCTACAGGGCATCATTCAAAGCTGTCCCCTTTTCACAAACTTATAGCAAATGGAAACAGTGTAAACAGTTCTAGAATTTTTATTTATTTACTTTGTAGTTAATAAGAGCTTGGAATGTGTAATGCCTTTCTTTTTTCCCCATCCTTCTATGAGTAGATAAAGCACACGGAAATTGTAACCAGACCTAGAGCAAATGCTCGGGAAATCTGACTTCAAGCTGGAATGGGAGAGTTATTTCTAAATTTGCTTCACCTTAAAGTTTAACAGCAACAGCAGCTATTTATTACACACCTTCATGTTGTACTTTGGTGTGTTATTAGTTAAGGACTGTCCCTGAAGGTTCAGTCATTTCAAGGAGCTCACTGAAAGAGCATGGAAGAGGAGAAGTGAGGCTGCTCTGCTAGTCTGGATGGAAGCAGTCTTGGTTATTGCTACTCTTTTGTGGAAAATACTTCCTAAATCTTTTTGAGAGGGCTCAGAATGGTACAACAAAATGCTGGAATAGAAATATGCTTCTTGCCAAATGTCAGATATTAAATACTCTGCTTGTTACTAGAGAACTCTCATCCTGACTCCTCAGTATGGCTGCTGTGTCCTCTCCCTAACTGCTCAAAAGCATAATAAATTCCATGGAGGATCATTCTTAAGGCCTTTTTATAAAGGAGCAGCTTGGAAAGAGCTGACTTCAGTTTTGCAGTCAGAAAAATCAAGGCTGCTCTCAGCCTTGGGCTGATGCTAAGCTCAGCAAACAGGATGGGCTCTGCAGTTCTGGTGGTAGATCATGAGAAAAGCAGCAGCCTCAGGACAGGGATGCTGTGATATGTCCATCTGCAAGATACAAATCTATGAGTTCATAGGTATGAAAGTATGGCCAGAGGGTGGTGTGAAGTCCTCCCTCAGTAAAAGTGGACCAAATGTCACCAGCATTCACTGCTGCTCTTGGGCAGGCTGAGGTGATGCTGTGGGGAAAAGTTCCTGCATCACCACTCCTCACCCAGGAAGAGCAAGAGCAAACCTGTGCTGTTGGAGGGCTGTCTCTAGTCAGTGCAGAGCTCTGTGCTGCTGCTTGTGCTGGTTCCTCTCTGCAGCTAGCTGTGTAAGCCCCCCCAGAGGATGGAGAGAAGAGCCACAGCACATTAATCTGTTTTGAAGTATCTGTTATACGTCTCAGGCCCTTGATCCTCTGACTGGAAATAAAAGGCTAAGAGGAATTTGCAAAAAGGGAGCATTTTCTGTCCCAGAAGCCCTTTTCATGCTTAAAAATTGCTGTTTGAGAACAGAAAGGCCATTGTAAGCAGAACAAGCCAAGAGGGTGAGGTGCCAGTCACAACACTATGTCTTTGCTCAAACTTACAGTAAAATATAAATTGAAGTCTTGACTCTTTCAGATGGATTTTCTCCTTGTCAAAAAAAAGGAACAGTCCTCCAGATTTACAGCTAAGCCGGGAGCACCAGTCCCAAGGCATAAATGACAGTTTTGCATCCTTCAAAACAGTTCAGCTGATTGCTGCTATGAACAAACAACAAATTGAAATGTAGTTAATTATGCCCCTAATTTTTTTTCTTTGTCCCCTCACCATATACATTCTTTCTTAAATTTTCCATTACCTCACTACATTACCTATAACATTTAATCTCCTTATTATGAAGAAAGCAGAAAATAGACCAGAAAACAACCTCCCCCTGCTCCACCCCTTCACAATCTCCTAATAAATAACACAGGGAAAGTTATCTCTGACAATTAGAGCCTGTAATGTAGTAGATGGTTAAAATATGTACATGACATCACTCTTTTAGCCTTCATTTATTAGTTCTTCTATTTGATGTACTGCAAAATACACTGCTTAGCTTGGAGAATAAACAAACAGTTAAATTTATTGATAAAAGACAAAATGCTGCCATTTTTGAACTCTCCCCTTTGTTACATGGTTTAAATGAGGACATCAGTTGTCAGAAAAACAAGATCTGCAGATGATTCTTTTATTAATGGGACTATTTAAAAGCATGAATTGTGTCTACGTTGTCATTGATATCACACATTTTTCATATTCTGATAGATCTTCCTTTGGAAAGATCTTACTCATTGTTTTGCAGCTCCTTTCTCTTCTCTTTAAAAGAAATTTTACAAAGCAATTACATTACATTCACATGGCTTTATAAAACTTTTGAGTAATATTTTGCTAATGACATCAGGATGTTCCTGTTTGAACGTTTACTGGAGTTGCTTCTCAGTTGTTATGAACTAACCACTAATTATCATAATCTTTATTTCTTTAACTGAATTTCTCCCTTATAAAACCACAAAGTGAAATTTTGGGCTCAGTGAACTCAGGGTTTCCTCTGAGGGGATTTGGATCTAGCTGAAATCAGTCAAGATTTTCCATTCATATGGTTGAAGCCACCGTCAATATAGAAGAGCTTAGGCTAAAGAGATTCATTTGCTATTCATAGAATCAGAGAATATCCCGAGTGGGAAGGGACTCACAAGGATTATCAAAGTCCAACTCCTATTAAAATCTAGGGTTCCTTCCAGTTTATATGAGAAACCAAACTATGAGAAGAAATGCCTGGCAAGAAGTCTGTTTAGGATGTCGTGTTCACTGCATAGGGTACAGAACATGAAGCTGTTTATTTTGAATTTACATTTCCAGAAATTATCTGTTTATGTTGCTGGCATAATCCTAATTTTTCAAGTAGTTGTTCAGCAAAGCCTCTAAAGCCACTTCACTTGTTTCAAAATGCTCTCCTCTGATTCCAACATGGAGTTCCTCCACACGTGTTTGAAAGACACCCAGGAGAGTTTTCACAGCTGCTGTCCGTGTTGCAGCCTTTTCTGGGTGAATTTTGTTTCATCAGCATGGCTGGCCTCCCAAGCACAGTGGCCACTTAAAAATTAAACAGATCACATGATGGGAACACTAAGAATTGCTCCTGTTGGGCATTTATTGACTGTACTCAGTTAAAGTAATTAAACAATAGATTTCAATGTTCTAGAAAGTGCAGGTTGCATGTACTGAAATGGAGAAATATTTAAACTTTAATGTATCTTAAGTCCTTAATGTTTTTACTTTCTTCTACTGAGTTTAATTTTAATCTTTGCTCCTTTGATTCATAAAGGTGAATGCCAATGTACTGACAGGCAATTTCTCTTGTTCTTACTACAGATGGTTTACAAGCCCAACTACTGTAAATGCTTTTTATAGTGCATCTACCAACCAAATCCGTGAGTATCTTACTTCTGAGCCTCCTTATAAAGTTCTTGTTTGGGAATGTATGTATCAAACTTCAGATAACAACTGTAACTGTTGTGTTGTTTGTGACTGAAAAAAGTTCGAACCTGGTAATTCAGCTGTGAGACTTAAGTGTGTGTGTGTGTGTGTGTGTGTGTGTGTGTGTGTTTGTGCCCTGTCCATTGTGAATGATAGCTTAAATCACTTTTATTAAAGTTTCTATTAAATGTTTCTATCTTTTGGTTTTTTGTAGCAAAAATGTGTACACACATCTCCATAAATACACAGTGATAGCAGTTCTGTCCTCTAGTATTGACAGATATGTAACAATAAATGTGACTAGAGAAGACTGTGATATAGACCAGAAAACATAAGAGAGTATATCCAGTGGATTTGTTCAATACCTTCAAGGACAAGGAGTGGTATCTGTAGTTAACTGAAAATTCTTACCTGTATGTGCCGTACTACCTGTCTAATTCTAGTTTTTGTTACTGGTTGGTTTTAGGCAGCATATATTCTAGTGTGGAAACAAATAAGGTGAAAGAGCTGAGTTTTTCAATGATGTGAAATGAGTTTGGGTGTTCATTCCCATTTGCTTTAATGGGGTTTGAATTGAAATTTTCTAACAGGCTTTAAAATTCTATAGCAGGCTTTAAAATTCTATATCAGTCTGTGTGCAACAGTTTTACCTTTACCCTGGCAATTCTATTTGCTCTTATTAGTTTTGCATGTTAAATTGGTCTTCTTTGTCTGTGCTGTTAGGGTCTGGAAAGTGGCTGCCCCCACTTCTGTGGTCTCAGTCCCCAGAGTCAGGACCTCAAAAATTGCTGAGTGATTCCCCTTTTTTCTCCTGAATCTCTTTTGGTCGCAGAGAGAAAGGCACAAAGTTAATGTATCACACTGAAGAAGGTACAGCAGAGGACAGACAATTTTAGTCTGCTGGTATTTGCTTCTACCAATTTCTCTAAACAGTTTTTCCTTCAAACCACTCACATAATTTTTTTTGTGTCTAAGTGATCTCATTTGTAAAGCATTATCATAATTAGGAAGTTCTTTTGATTAAAATTAGTGCTAGATTTAGATAGTTCTGCCTTAATTAGAGGGCTGCTATCATTAGGCAGTCACATTTTTGTTGATCATCTGAGGGAGCGTTGGCTGAGGTGGTCACAGCTCTGAGGTACCCCTGAAGCATTACAGCTGCTCTTCCTCCAGCCACCACTGCTGCTAGGAAGGTTTTGTGTGAGTGCAGAGGAAGCCTGCTCAGAGAAAAATGAGAGCCATTGCTGTTATACCTTCTTTAATATTGGGTCCTTTCAAATTTGAGCAGTGCTCAGCTGTCCCAGCCTCTCTGCCATGGCACATTAGAGAAAACTGTGATGAGAGGCTGGAGCCACTGAACATTTCACACTTGCTGTGTCTGACAGAGTCAGGAGGCAAAAAAGAGGCAGTTGTCAAACGTAACCCATTAGTCATGGGTGTAGAGTTGATTGTATTTTCTATATCATAACTGCTGAACTTCTCATTCTGCTGGCAAGTGACGTGGAAGTTTGGAGAGTGCCACTCCCTCTCAGTCCTTTTAGGACTGTTTCAAAGAGGAAAAGGGTTTAAGTGGCACTTTCTGAACAAAATCGTCTCGTACCTGAGAGAGAGGTAAAAGATGTACTCATGCCCCAAAAATGATGTGCAACAGGAGGGAGGATTCAGAGAAAGGCACAGTGCTGTCTGCCCCTGCTGGCTGATGTGTTTTTATGGGGCAAGAGGCCCTGAGTGATGTGGGAGGAACATTCTCTGGTAGAAGTTGCTGATAAACATTTGACACATCACTACTGATTTCCCATTGATGCTGGTGGGGAGGAACTGCTACCTTACTGCTTTGCAGCTGTGTTTTCAGTAGTAATCTGTATAAAGTTCTGGGGCTGCTCACATGCCACAAGAACTGTGGCATTTTTAAAGGCTTAGTTAAATAACAGAAAAAAAAGTTCCAGAAACCAGAATCATTTGAGAATAAGAATTAAGCTTCAACTCTAGCAAGTTAGATGTAAAATTGTGATACAGCAAGCCCAGAAGTATTTCATGGACCGAATTTCTAGGAGCATAAGAAATAATACTAAAACCTATTTGTCAAATTCACTGAGAGAGGAGAGTCTCTAAGGCATAAAAATAAGATAATTCTTTGCATTGAAAGAGTTTGGGAAGTTCTATTTCTGGAGCTTTTACTTGTGAGAGGTTTGTCCCAGAAATAATTTAAAATTTAGTGTCAATAGAAGGGACTTTAGGAGAAATTCATACAAGGAACTATGACAAATATAAGGACTATATAATATTCTCACAGGTATACAGTACAGAAAGAATAGGTGTGATAAGTATCAAATCCTATTTTTCAAAAGACAGTTAGAGGGATCTGCATAACAAGTTATTTTAGCCTTTATATGAAGGAATCTGGTTGTGACCACAACATGATTGAATAGAGAATGAATAAGCATATGATATAACAGTGAAGAGTGAACCTGAGAATGTGAGATGTTTTTTGCTTTTTCTTTTAGAAAAAAATCATGCTTTCTTAATCTACTAGAGTTTTTTTAAATTCAGAAAGCAAGTAAGTATGCTTGATACGAACATATGCTTTTTTCCATTGAACAGTATTGATGAGGCTCTTTCCCAATACTAATAACTGAAAGTTGTCATGGGATAAGAAAGAAGGTCCTTTCATAAATTAATGAATGATTAAAATAAGAAAAGGAGGTAGGAACCAATTACTTGTTGGCAAATTGTTGACTTGTGAGGGTCTCTGCTACTCACTGCATTAGCAGATAAACTGAAAAGAGTTCTGTTGTGAACACAGAACACAACATCTGTTGTGTTCTGTTCTTTACAAAAGAACAGAGGGATATAAACCAGTCCAGGAAGACAGTTCCCTCTGCTTCTGGCTGCTGGAAGGTAGGAATGTGTGCTACCAGAAGAATACCTCACAGGTAGTTGCCTGAAACTCTTTCCCTTCACATCTACAACTGATCACTCCTCACTGAGTGAATGGATCAGATATCCTCTTCACTATCAGCTTGAGTGCCCCTGCTCTTCAGTGAGAAAACTGGACTTGATTGTCTTCAAGATCCATCCATTTTTGCTCTTTATAAGTGAGTTTACTAAGAAGAATTTGAGAAATAAGAATTTTAAAATGTGTAATAGAATTTGATTATGGAAAGTAGTTTCTATGTGAACTGGAAAATCCCCGCTTCCAAAATTTGATTCTAAAAATTAGGACCATTCATTTGGAAATGGAAATGTACTCTGTGAAAATATCAACAAAACTACAGTAACTCCAAACTTGATTAGTCACTGGAGGCTTCTTGAAAAAGTTTAGAGGAAAAGAAACATCAGTTATTTGACCCATGGATTCTGAAAAGGAGCAATCATCAGGTGCCTGCACAAGGGAAGGGAAATGTGGATGTCCTGAGCACTTCTAAGCTTTAGGCAGCTGCTTTTGCCTTCTGTGTTCAGAGCACAGGGATGTCTCTGACACTTCTGGTGGAAGTGTCACTTTCTGATCAAAAATTCTTCTCTCTCTGTAATCTGTATCACTGACATAAATATTGAATATCCATGCAAAGTCCATGTGATCTTCATATACAGGCAGGCTGTTAGTGTTTTTAACTTGACTACTCAGTTACTTGGAAAAAAGGTCTTGTTTCACTAAAAGAGAAAATGAACAGAGAATAGAAACTGGGTGATTTAAAAAATTACTAGATTTGGGAGAATTTAGCAAATCTTGCATATCAGTAGATGTACTAAATTTTGCTGTCTTTTAGTGCAAACACTTTTGGGTTTGGTGTTGCTTTGTTTGATTTTCATTACTAAACTACTGATAGTTTGAATGCCCAATGATTCTATTAATATTTCCAAAGGAGAAATAAGTAGCTGCATCAAGGTGAGATGTGCCACAAAGAGCAGAGTTAAAAAATATGTTACATATAATTTACCTTAATATTATTCAACTTTACTCCTGATGTTCTCTGTATGTGAGTTTCATTTATTTATTTCCTCTTTTTCCATAATTCAAAGTGTCTTAGAGGAACCACTATGCATGTTTATAATGGTTGATAATTATTTTTTAATCCTAGTTTGGATAACTTTTCAATTTTCTGTGCATTTGCTCGTCAATTTCCCCTTTAATTATAGGTACTTAACAAGGACAACAGGTATGTGTCATTGCCTTTAGAGTCTTAAGATGTATCTAAGTGCACTTCATATCATCTAAGCAGCATGAATACTATCTTTTTAATTATCATAATTGGAACACCAAAAACAATTTCTAAAGGATTAGTTTATTTTAATGCACTCTAAAGCAGTCAACAAATATGTGCTGAAAATAGACACAAGTGATGATCAAAGGGTGCTAGCATACTTCTGTTTAAGAAAAGGTTTTATTTCATTACAGCACTAAAATATTAGCCTTTGAATATGTTAAGGATAAAAGGAACTATTCATCAGACATTTGGTGTGTTTTGGATTTTTTTTTAAGTGTAAATATATATGCCTCTAGAATATATAAAAATAGTCACACTTGTGGGATGTGAACAGTAATGAAAGGGAGATTTACAGTGAACTGAGGCAAATATAAGCAATGCACTCATGAGGTGTAAGCTTGAATAGATGTACTGGATAATTAATGTTGATATTATCTCTGTAGGTTTATATCCATGCTCCTTCTAAGTCATTTGTGCTGCTACTGCAGCTCTCTAGTGAAAGTCAAGAGGCCTCTTTAGAGAGAGGCCTCGATACATGTTACAGGAGGCAGATATGATCTACAACAGAATTTAAAAATTGCATTCAAATTAGCATCCACAGAGAAAACCACAGATGAGGGCTCATATTAGCCAATAAGTCTCATCTTTGCAGGAAGCATCACACAGATATTGACGCCGGCAGCTCACTGATGCTGGGAATTGCAAGGGAGAACTCTCATCTTGCCAGGAGCCAGGGAAGTGCTGGCAAGCAGCACCTGGTGCCATGGCCAGGGCAGGATGACGGGAATGTGCATGGGGCATTTTCTCTTCCCTTAAGAACTGGACCATTTGGAAGGTTATTGATGAAGTAGTTTCAAGTGTGCCATTAGTTTCCTGGAGGTTAATGAACTTAAGAGATTTGGACTGAACACTTTCTGAGCCCTGTTATTAAGTAAGCTTTAAGTGTCTTAAGTGAGCCCTCATTTTCAATTTTCCTGAATTACTAAAGACCACTATTCTCTTTAATTTAACCATGGTGCATGATCCTTACCTCCATTCTTCATTTTTCTTCCTAAAATTCCTATCTATGAATGTATAAAATAGAAGAATTTGTTCTTTGTTCTTCTCCCCCTAGCCCCCATTCCCTCGCCCTGGGGAATCCATTGAGGATTTTTCCTCATAAAATAAAGATTTAAGTTTCTTGTAAAACAGATGTTTTCACATTTCCTATTCCCTTAGCAGACAGTATTCCTTGGCACCTCACAAACCACATCATGTTTCTCCTCATGTTGCCCCACTGAGGTTGGTAAACACCAGATTCTCTCTTTTTCATGAGTAGAAAAAAGTCTCTTGTCAGGTGAGGGAGAAATTGAGCCAAGAATTGAAGCAGAGGCTACAGAGTCCTCTGCTTTCAAAGACCATTACTCTCATTACAGAGCACAAGCCCATGGGCTCTGACAGGGTGCACCTACAAGCTCACAGCATCATTATGAGGCCACTCTTGGTAATCTTTGAAAGGTTATGGTGACTGGGGGAGGTTCCTGAGGACTGGAAGAAAGCAAATGTCACTCTTATCTTCAAGAAGGAAGATCCAAGGAATTACAAGCTGGCCAGGCTCACAATGATCCCTGTGTACATGATAAAATAAATACTGGAAACAGTTTCTCTGACCAGCTTTCTACATTGAGATTACTAGCTCAGTGGAGGAGGAGAGAGATGTGAAAATGATTTATTGTTTAGAAAGAACTTCAGCACTGCCTTCCTTAACATGGTCAAATACCAACTGCTGAAGAATCAGCCACTTGAGAGGATGGTCAGGTGCACTGAAAACTCCTTGAACTGCTGGGCTTGAAGGGCTGTGATCAGAGCAGCTGGTCCCTAGCGTGGTGGGATCAGCGGCACAAAGTCCATCTTGAGGATGATGCAGCCTGGCTGTCCCACCTTGCCACCAGTAAGATGCATGGATATAGGGTGCCAGTGCTGATCTGTGTCAGCCTGAGCTCAGCTGTCCACAGAGCAGTGCTCTTGTGACATGTGACACCAGTGCCCACCTCAGAATGGTGCTGCAGCCCAGCGGCATTGCTGCAAATTTAGGCAGGTTTTAAGAAAGTAGTCAAAGCACATTCTGCAAGTCCAGGTCTTGATGGCAGATGGGTTTGTGTGGGGTCTGTAACAAGATAACACAGTTTTCTTCCTGTGTGCTGTTGGTGAGTAATGGCCTTGGTGTAGACTCTGGGCCTGCATTTGTAATCCAGTGTATAAAGAGAGAGACTGTCAGCCTGTATCTCTCTTCTGGGGCTGTGTAGAGGGAGAAAGCTTTAAAAGATGCACAACACAGGCTAAATTTGTGGCCAAGTGTTAGCTCAAAATACATTCCCACTGCCTGTATCTATTCCTTAAGATGTGAAATTCCCTGAAGTCTGTCTGTCTTGCTCCTTCAGATCTGTCCTTTGCCTGCTTGAAATCCAGTGGCATAGAAATAATCCCATTAGTATTTATTGCATCTGGAGCCTACCATGAGCTCTCTGAGTTTTTTCATTAATTCTTTTAGGTGCAATATGCCAATCAAAAAAAAGAACCAAGCTTCACAGGGGAATTGCCTAAATCAAGGGACTCAAATCAGCACAAAATAAGAAACTGTCTGGTGATCAATCTCATGTTACAATTTTAAGGATATTCTGGGTATAAGACATTGTTATCCTTGATCCTCCCAATGATGATGTAGTTGTTGCTTGCCTGAAGGAGATGCTGCATAAAAAGTGTTGTCAGCTCTCAGTGTGTTCCTTCTAATATTGGAATAGTGGACAAGCACCCTCAGTGCTGCTGACCTCTGGAGCATGGGACCCACTTGCTTTTCTAGCTCACCAAGAATCACTTTCAAACCTAGATTTTTCTTTATTACCAACAAACAAACAAACAAACAAAACCAACAAAACCACAAAAACATGCACCCTCCAAATAAAACAGAACAATTCCTACTGGTGATAATGTATTCCAGTTTCCTGAAATGTGTAATACAATCTACTGGCTTCTCACTCTGCTTTGGCCTGAAAATACTTCCTGAGCTTCCTTTAGTGCAAACTATAGAGGTATTTTCACACATGTCCAGAAGCAGAAACCACTCCTTCAACCAACACTTTGCTCAGTGGTGTCTAACCTAAAATGGATCCTGACTGAGTGAAATAATTACCAACCTGGTGTACAGAGCAGCACTGGAGCTTCCTACCATTCCTGCACATTGACTTATTCAGTGAAACTATCTCATGGCTTAACTCACAGCTGACTGTGTTTCAACCATGCTCTATGAAGACACATTTAGTGCAGCTGGATAAGCCTGAGTGAAATTTGCACCTAATTTGCTGTAAATAATGCATATTACCTCTACTGCAGACAAGTGCAAACTCACTTCAAGTTTATACCTGGAAAAATTGATTGCAGCTCCTTAAAAGATCTGGATAGCCTCTTGGTGCAGTGACAGGCTCCCAGGATTGTGTGATCATTAAATATGATTTGTGGGTGACTGTTCACACTGCCTTCAGTGTGGGCTCATTTGTTCATTTTGGCCACAGTTCCTCTCTGCTGCTGTGGGAATAGGATCATTTGGAGTTAGCAGAACCTAAGCTTTCCAAAACCTTTTCTGAATTTCAGAGTTTGGAGGGAACCAGTTCAAACTAGATTTTCAGCTCTGAACACAGCTCTTAAAGCCTAACAAGCAATTTTCATCAGGTTGTATGTGTGTACCATTGCTGCTTAAAATGTTCAAAACATGCATGATAAGTAATCCTCTCAGTGCACTGGGAGGCAATGACAGATCAGTAAAACTTTGTCCTTGACATTGGTAAAATTGTGGCTTTCAGTGCTGGATAAGAAAATTATATGCTTGAAACAATAAAGCAACATCTGGAGAAGTAAGAAAAAAAACCACAGGCAACATTTAGAAAATTTTGTAGCCCACACTTTTTATAAGCTAATTGCAGATAGGGAATGATGGCAGCCATGGAGGAGCAGCAGAAAAAAGCAGTGGGCAGGCCAGGAGGACATGCCTTGTGCCACATCACTTGGCATGAATTACACTCAGCATCCTGGGTTTGTTTTGGGGATTTTTTTCATTTGAAAGTAAATTTTTAAAGACCTTGTAAGGAAAAGACAAAGATCTTGCCTGGCAACTTATCTCAGATATAAAGAAATCCATAACCAAACTATCAACAAAAAACTGAATAGGGTTAGAATCAAATGAATATAGTTTCTGTATTGTTCTGGGTGTTCAGGTGATTCCTTGAAGAGGGACCCATAGGGAAATGAAGAATTCCTGGGAAAACAAGTGAATCACTTGAGGAAATGTTCTTCCTTAACAAGGTGATGACCATGCGGGTAAACCTTCTAAGCAGATGCTTTATAGATGAGAGTTTGTGACCCAAGACAGTAAATTCCACATTTGGGCCTGGAAGGATGGCACCTTTCACCATCACATAAGAACTTTGACCATGGGTGTATGTTTTATTTAGCAATTATTTGGGCTGTTAAACTTTTACCATGTGCAGTTCCACTGTCTTTAGTATCCTGGCACTAAAATGTCCCCCTGGAATTAAAAATAAACCTGTGACTTTGAATTTGAGGAACAATTTTGTTTCCTGTGTGAAACATCAGTAGCTCATCACTCATCAGAGTGTCTCCATTGCTCTTTTTTTGGCAGCTGGTTAGTTGCCAGAACCAGAAGCAGCCAGGTAATATCTATCACTAGACTGACCCTACAGCCTTAATAATCTACAGATTTCCCTTACAAAAGTGCCTAAGTATGTTCATATACCTCTGGTTTTCATAGACTAAATAGAATCAGGCTTACATTTTATCACTTTCACATTTCTTGCTTCACTGAAGCCTCACTAAGGTAACAGCATTTTAATTCTTACTGCACTTTACCTATGTATTGTCTATTGATCAGTCAGCACATCTGAGGATAATCCAGGACCCTTCAACCCTTCATAGGAAGCCTGAGGTGTGTTTTTCACAGGAACACATGCATTTACTCAGACCTGCTTGTGGCAGGATCTCTGCTGCCTCTCTGAGATCCTCTCTTGCATTCTACCACCCAGGGGAAAGCTCCCCTTGAAAAACCTTCTGAAGCCAAACAAATGAGGTCATAAAATCTAAATCCTTGGGCATTGTGACAGCTATTCAGCTGGATTCAATTGATCTCACCAGATTTTTCTTTTCTTTTTTTTTTTTTTTCTTCCCCTTTTTGTCATTGCAGGATTCCCAGCAGGAGAACTTCAAAAGCCTTTCTTTTGGGGAACAGAATATCCTAGGTAAGTAGTGCACAAGGGAACCTCATCCACCTAGAACTGAGGAATAACAGGGAAAGGTATTGCAAACACAAATAGATAAAGAAGAGGGTGAGAAGAAGAAGGCTGTGGTGCTGAAGGCAACTGAAAGGCAGCCCCTAGGAAGCCTGTGTTGTCCTGCTGTTGGGCAAACTTGGTCCTTGGGTTGTGTGTTCTCTCCTGCTGGATCCTGCTGTTGCCTCTGGAAGGGCTGACTTTGAGAAGTGCTGCTTTGTGTGATATTTTCTTACCCTTGGATATGTTGCTATTGTCTTAACCTGATGACTGATTTCTCACAGGAATTGCTAATTAAGTGCACCCAAGTGCAAGTGTTTCAATGCTACAGCATGCAGATGCAGCAGTGTGCACATGGCAGGTATTAAAAGGAATTTTAAATCAGATAACTAACACTTCCTGAACAGAAGTGAATACCCTGAGAAGCCAATTATTATCAGTGTATTGTTCACTTTCTGCTAATATCTAAGATTAGCAGTGGGCCCTTGCCTGTGCCTGTTGAGGTGCATGAGAATATCTTCATGTGCATAAGGGATTGCCTGAGCAGGCCCATGTGCCAGTGAGGCTGAGGAAGGGTAATTATAGGTCACATACATTAAATTTTGAAAAATCACTGCTTTTTGTGCAGTTCAATAGCTTTCTATTTTAGGGTAGGATAAGACCATGAAAAATTTCTGGTGGCAGTTTCTGAAAGTTATTTTGCAGTTATATAAAGCCAGTTTCTGGTGAAACATATCCTTAATAAATCATTGTTTAAAAAAATCAAACTTTTTGAACATTTTGTGCTTGCCATCATCCAATCTGGATTGTGTCCTTGTAAACAGGAAATTTGCCAATATATGCAGAAAGACAAGTTCAATTTATGAACTAATTAATTTGTATTCAAAGAGAATTCTTGTGGGCCAGGTTACTTTGTAAGTGGTAACTGGGGATAGAAGAAAGTCCTTTCTTGTTAAGGTGAACTTATTTTCTGTTGTAGTTATTGAAGACCAGCTTTGCTTTCTGATTTCTCTGTATTCTGACCTTCTGCCATAGTGATAAAACTGTGGTTCTTTCAAAGTATTGTATTTTGCTCATTTCTCTTCCTTAAAGGTTACCTTAGCTTAAATTGGTTTTGCTTGAGTACGTATCAAAATGTAATTTAGTAAACAAATGTAGCTGGTTTATATCAGACAACAGATTGCTTTTGTCCTTGAAATATTCTGGATGTTTTCTGTCTGCCTAAAAGAAACAGTACATGGCAGTGGAGCAGATAAACTACAAAAAAGTCACCAGTGCCTGCTGAAAAACTAATTTAGCAAATATTTAACATTTAGTGGCATTTTAGTGTCCAGCTCCAGCACAACCACCAAAACCCAGTTACATGTATTTGCAGAAAGCAAAACTTGGTTATCACTTTTACATCTCAGTGCATTAAATAAAATAACACAACACTCAAATGCGACCATTCACAATTGTGAGTCTCCAGTGCCATATATATTGAAATAGAGACTTCAAACTACCTGAAGCTTCCTTTCAGTTCTGAGCCTCCCCAGTCCCAGAAAGGTCTCCTTTAATTTGGTGTCTGCTGGGCTGCACCTAACCCTTCCATCTCGGCCCTACTGTGCCCAAAAGTGAAAAGCATGAACAGAACTGGCAAAATTCCTGGAAGAAATGTTGTTGAGCTGGACAAAATGCTGCATTGGGGTTCACAGATTCAAAGGCCAAAATTCACTGCAACATTAACCCCATCTTTTGCAGCTAAAGAAACCTCCAGGGACTGGCAAAAGACCAGCCTGTTCTTTGTCCCTGCACCTCATGGTGACAAAGAACCTTAGAGGAAAAATAAGATGTATTCAGTAATAGGGCTTGTTTCTTCTAGATCTCTTTGCATGTTTTGTGCTATTATTTTTATTCTTCTCCAGCTGCAAAAGATCCTGTATAACCCTTTACTTCAGATATGGAAAACAAGTCTTACATAGTGCATTTATTAGGGGTAATTATCACTGTGTGCTACACAAGATTACAAACTTGTCACACAAAAGGATGGTATTTCCATTGCTGAAACATATAATTTTAACCTGCATGTTTTGGAGATGGTTTGTAACAGTACTTGGGCTAAAAAGCAGTAGGGGAGATTTTAACACATGCAAAGTACCATTCAGGAAAGAAAAAAACAAAGTGAAGGACTTTCATGGGAGCAGAGGGAATTAAATGATATAATAATTTTTGGGCATGACTGAGATGAGCAATTAGTGCACTATGGATCATTAGCTCCAATAATGTTATTTCAAAACCCTCTGCCTTTCTTCTATTTCAATAAAATGTCTTAGAAATACTATAAGCTACTTTGAAGTATAGCATCTCAATAACTGAAATAATTAAAATCACAAAAAGTGGCTCCACAAATGAAAGATACATTGAGTAAATCACCTACCCCATGATACCCACTGCTTTTGGTGTAATAAAGCCCTAAGCTTTTCCCTCTTTCATCCCTATTTTTCCTAAAAGCATGCTTATTGGGATATAATAAAGAAGATATAATTAACTGTCACTCAGAAATACAAAGTATTTCTTTTTACTCTGTTTTCCAGGTGCCTTAGGTCTGACTGTGTATCACATCCTCTTCCAGGGCAGGTGCAAGGGAATTATATGACCTTTCTTTTTAGAACTGAATGGAGATCTGTTAATGCTTTACAAAAGATAGTTTTTGTTTCAGAGTAGGTACAGCTGTAACTTTGTCCTGTTCCCAGTGAGAACATTCAGAATTCAGTCAGCTAAAGGAGAGTGGAGCCCATATGATGCTGATAAGGGATTTGGTTGGAAGAGTGAACCATCACAATGCTTTCAAAGTTCTAGATTAAATGTTACTTTTAAACAACAGTTTAAGACTTTCAACTTCTTTAAGTCAAAATTCTGTAGGTCTGAATTTTAGACCCATATCCTCTGCCTCCTCAGCTTATTTTTAAAATTCATAATGATCTTTCCTGATGTCTTTTGTTCTTTAATGTTCATGACTGTGAACACTTTCTGAGGAAACTGCTTCTTTGTGTTCCAGGTCATTAAGTTATGGTGCCATAGGAGTGATTGTTGGCCATGAGTTTACTCATGGATTTGATAGCAATGGTGAGTATTTGACTGCACTTTGATAACTTTTTTGTTTACAGAGTTGACAGATTAGAAAGCTGACTTGTACATCCTGTAGCATTTTTATTGTTTTGTTTTTTTTAATGGTGCTGAATTATGTGAAAAAATTATAAATTTGTATTTATTAGATTTATTTACATGGATGCTTGCTTGTCTGAATTGGATTTTATTTGGTAAGAAATATCACAATTCTGATTCTTTATGTTTGTCTTCAATGAAAACTAAAGCAGCAACAGATTCTGAAAGTCGTAACAGAGGGAGGGGAGAGTGGGAAGGACAAAGGAATACTTTCTGACTGATAAAAATTACTAAGAAAACTTTTCATTTCAGGCTTGACATTTTTCAAAAGATAATTGCAAAAATTTTAAAATACCATACTAGAACAAAGTGTTACAGAAAAGGTGTTGCAAAATATTAAAATTAAATTTAGAAAAAAAGAGAGACAGGAAAAAAATAGTCAGAAAATACCAATGCAATTGTCCTGACTGGATGGAGTGGGGCATTGCACCTACTTCTTGGTTTGGTTGTCTCAGCAAAGTGTTTTTAAAAATTGGGCTCCTGAGAGAAAGTTAGGGGAGAAAGGGGAGGAGCGAGATGCAGGAAGAAAGAAACTCAAACCTCCTCCTCTAGGAAGTAAGTTTGAGTTTGCTTATGTTGCATAATATAGAATACCTTAAAAAAACCCCCAACAAACCCAAAACCCCCCACTTATCCTGGTATACTGTTTGCACTGCTCTACAACACTTTGTGTCAGCAAACACTCCAGAATGGAGGCATTTTTCTTCATCAGCTCCCACTTTGTGTAGGTGAGCACCTAATCTCCACCTTGTTTCCTGCCCATCAGAAAGGAACCTAAAGTTTGATTTCCTCCTTGCCAGGGTCTTACCTTCCAAATACAGAAATAAATACATCTCTAGGGAATTTGTCACCTTGTGGAAATTTTAGAAGTTTTCATGGAATGGATTTGTTTCCTGATCAGGTGAAGAATTAATAATAAATTAGTTATCATCACATTGACAGAATGAAAGACATATGGTCTGAGATGAAAAATGCAATTATACTTGCAAAAAAGCTAAGTGTCTCTTACACTATGTAATTATAAAATGTACTGTAGAATTCATTAGTTATTACTATATTTTTCTGCAAATGAAAACTATGACAATAAATAGAATGCCAGCTTTTCACTGCTTGTATGAGTGGGGCCAAGATTTTGCTCACTGATCCTATCCATTTTGTACATACATTCACATGAGAACATTCCCCTCTCATTTCTGTGAAGGTGATAGATTCCTAAACTGTAAAAGGTTTTTCCTGCAAAAACATTTGTTTTCTTTCTTTCCTTTTTGAGGTCGGAAATATGACAAAAATGGAAATTTAGACCCTTGGTGGACGACTGACTCTGAAGAAAAATTTAAAGAGAAAACAAAATGCATGATTAATCAATACAACAATTACTACTGGAAGCAAGCTGGCTTACATGTATGTAAACCACCAGTGACTGAAAACAGTGGTACATGAGGAGTTTAGGTCATTGTGCTTTTTTCCCTTTTTTAAAGTTCTCTTTTCTCTCTTTTTTTTTTCTCTTTTTTTCTAATATCTTCTCTCAACATATTAGAATATTAAACTACCAACTTCATTTGTCACAACAAATGATTTTTTGAGGTGAATAATTGTGTTAAAAATTGTCTGTCAGGTTTGATTAGTCCAGTCAAATACCACTACCCACACTCTGGTGACAGGGTTAACCATTTCTCTCCATCACATCATTTTGGAATCAGAGGAAGAGGATGAAGTCACTCAGCAGGGCTGGTCTAATTATTGTCAGCATGTTAAATGTCTTCTGAAGATGAAGTCTGTAATGAAAACTGAGCAGTCACTCTTTTAGAAAGAATATAATAGCATGTTTTATAGATTCCTCTAACAATTCTGCCTGTTATTTATTGCAGCTATAAAATGGATGCATGAGCCCTACTTTATTTCACATTCAACTCTTGCTATTTCTTCCATGTGTGCACACAGACCCCATTTGTCTGTTTAATCAAGGGAATATGACAGCAGTAGCTCCTAGAAAAGGATTGAGAAAGTGCAAGGGAATTGTTTTTGTTTTGTTGTCTATCAAAGGAATGAGTTTCCCTGAAGATGTGTATGTTCATATGTGTGTCCAAAATGAAGATAAGCAGGATATGTCCCAGACTTTCAGAAATAAATAGCTGAAATTCCAGTGATGTTGTCTGGGACACGATTTTAATCTTAGTTTTCAGGATAAAACACATACTCCAGTCCCCACTCAATTCTATAATCTCTACCTACATTTTACAAATACTAGTACATCTTTGCCTTTTAAGAATAGTGAGGCCCCATTAATTTTTTATCAACAATTCTAGCACTTTTCCCAGGCTTATTTGTGCTGATCTCAGAGATAACAAAGCCATATTGTGATCCAGTCTGAAGTCCAGCAACTCAGACTTGAAATAATTAATAACAATCTAATTTGCAAATAAAAATTCTCAGGCTCATTCCTGAATATTTGTAGGGCAAAAACTGTCATTACAAAAATGCCACTCAAAAAAGATCCTTAAAACCTTCCCCAAGGATGTGGCTGAGCTCTTCTCATGCTCTGCCATTGGCTTGGCCATCCCCTTTAACTTTTGCACTGTCTCTTGAGATGAGGTAGGTCTGAATTTGCTCCCAGTGTAGGTACTGCCTTTGAGGTCCATGGGCTTACTAGAGAGACCACAGTTACCCACAGCCTTGTCATCCCATTCCTTCTTTATCCTCAGGATAACCAAAAGCACTTTTTAGATGATAGAAGATTTTTCCAATTTTCTGACATATTTTATAGCTTTTGTAGGAAGAGCTATGCCAGCAAAGACCTTTTATTATTATAATTTTGGCCTGTCATTTGCATCAGTACTCTGCAGGCTTTTTACCCTTGTATGAATATTTTTCATGGATTAAGAAACCTATTTATTCCTTTTCCTTCTCATCTGGTATGCAATAAAAATGTGTCCAGAAAAGAAACCTAATGAAAGAAAAAGTTATATAGAAATAACTTCAGAGAGCTATAATCACATAAAGTCATCTCATCAAATAAAGGGCTTATCATGGTCCGTGATCCCTGCCACCACCTCCCTGTGCAGAGTAGTCTCAAATACCTGATCCCCAGCTGCCTGAGATCAGCAAAAAGAATTCTTCCACTTTTTAGCTGGCCTGTGGCCCTGTTAGGTTACTCTGATCTTGTGCTCCAAGTCAGTCTCCTCACAAGCCCAGTGCCAGTGAAATGTGTGAGCAGGAAGGCCAGAGGAAAAGGCAGCTGTGTGCTGTCTGTCCCTGGTGTCCCAGCACCTTTTCTCCTAAAGGCTTCTCTCTCACCCCATCTCCACCCTCCCGAGAGCAGGGGAGAGCTGACAGGAAAGGGCTGCACTTTCCTCTGTGGCTCCCATTTTTCCTGTATGTTGTACCCAAGGCATCCAAGTGTCCCAGTCCAATCTGGGTGCTCATCTGCGCTGAGTGTGGGGCTGTGCACAAGTTCCTGGCCATTCCCTTGAGTTTTCCCCTCATTTTCCATCCTGAAATGAGTCCTGATGCCAACCCCACTGCACTGATCCCTGTGGCATGGGAGAGCTGATGGCTGCAGCCAGCACTGACCTTCAGAGCCCTGCTCAAACCATGCTCAATTATCTTGTTTATTTGAGGCACAGGAGAGAGTAAAACTGCTTAATTACAAATACAGTTGGTAACACAAGGACCTTAGTAGGCTGGGTGAGTAGAGATAATGCTACTTCAGCAGAAATTAGGATTTCTTTGTAGTGATATTGAACTTGGTAATGCCAAAAGACCAGTTTCCTCACAAAGTTTATATTGTGCAGTTTCCCACAACACATTCTTGTTGCTATTGCTTCTGCTCTTGGAATCAATACCCAGGACAAGCAATAGGAATCTCCTTTGCAGAAATTTTTAGAGCACTGAATATACTACCAATTTTGATTCTGACAGCTATTTTTAATTAAGTTTATTTATGTTATGTCTTAGGAGTTATTTTCGCATCCCAGTAGCATATTAAGAGTTCTGTAGAGAAATAAATATAGCCTTTTAGGTAAAAGTTTAAGAGGCTACTGGATGTCACATGTCACCAGATATAAACAGTCCTTAGGGGCAAATTACTGACACTGAGCTCAAAGATCAGGGACTGGATTCTTAAGTGCATTCTATCTACTATATTTTGTGCTACAGAGATCTATGACCAGAGCCAGGATAACTCATCACAGAAAATAGTTTACTGGCAGTTTTCACATGGAAACCCAGTTTTCCTAACCAAAGTTGGTTCAAATTGACTAAGTTGTTCTTGCCTTGTTTTACTTCTCCCCCTCTTTTTGAAGTTGATCAAGTAGGAAGTTCAGAAATGGGTCAAATGATTGATGTTCTTTCATTCTGCCAAGGTGAAAGGGAAGAGAACTTTGGCAGAGAACATTGCAGATAATGGAGGTCTGCGAGAAGCTTTCAGGGTAAGTAGATGGAAAATATCTGAAACATCATGTTACTTAAAAAATAATAAAAAAAAAAAGCTGTGGTTATCTTCATGTTGCTGAAAGGCACTTAGTATCTCTTTCTCATCAGGCATACAGGAAGTGGATTACAGAAAAGAGGGGAGGAGAAGAAGAGCCGTTACTGCCAGGCCTTGAATTCACACACAACCAGCTTTTCTTTCTGAGTTATGCCCATGTGAGTAGAACAACTGTGTCCCAAACCCCATCTATTAACTTGAACCATGTGCAGTGCAGAGATGAGCTTCTTTGTTTTCAGCAATCTGCCTCACCCAAACACAGATTTTGAGAGTATAAGGAGAGACTTCTCCCGCAATTATTATTTCTTTCTCTTTCCCTCTTTGTCCTCAACTACCCATGGTGCCAGAACTGCTGAAATGATTCATGGTTTTTCAGTGTTGTCACAGCAACTTTCTTTCTTTTTTCTACTTTCCTGCACTAAAAGGGTCTTCCTGCATGTGTTGACTCCCCAGCCTCCTTCAATTTTAACTCACACCATTTGGTACTATGTATATTGTTCAAGGGAACTAAGCAGCAGTAAAGAAAGTCTTAGTTTGTTTCTTCCCATCTGTACACTAAATATGCTGTGACAAAACTTTGATAAGGGCTGTGAGATTTTTAGAACAAAACAGAGCGAGGGAGGATAAGAAATTATTTATTTGGGTAAACAAATTGGGGCAAACTCTCTACATGAGAAGTAAAAGGCTATAAAACTTTGTCTCCAGTAGAAGGAATGAATCACCCCAAACTGAATAAACAGGACCCAATGCAACCAGTCCTGGCTAAAAATAATTTCTCTGCTGAGAGTCAGTGTAGCAGTCTGTGGGCCTGTGGCTGTTTCAGTTTGACTATATTGGACAAAGAAAATATTTAATTTTCATTGTTTATGCTAAATAAAGTTTCACCTTGTGTCAGTTTTTCTCCAAGCAAATTTTGAAGCTATAGGGAACATCTGGGGCTCTTACAGAACCACTGCAGAAATCATATTTCCAATGGTCCCTCACAGGGAGGGCACACTCACAGTGAGAGCAGTGTACACAAGGTGCCCTCGAGCTCAGTCTATTTTCACAAAGCTCAAGAGACTCAACGGACTTTTATAAAATGTCAGGACTGTGTTCAGCCAGAAAAAATTGCACTGAGGTCCACTGAAATCCTATGGGCAATCTGGCTTAAAGGATTTTGTTGATAGGAATATTTAATGTAGAGACTTAGGTAAGGTAGGGGCAGTTTAAAGGAGATTTTTCATGCAATGGATACAGCATAAGAGGAGTTATTCAGTTGTGCAAATATTCTATCTACCCTGTTTTTTGGTGGGTTATGATTGAATTAAGCATCTTATCAGGAACAGGGAACTGGAGACCACTGATGGAAATGTGGAATATGTGTAATTTCAAAAGAAATTGACATTCCAACATGGCATAAATATATCAGGTAATATAGCAGCAGTTCTAGAGATGATAAGCATTATTATGTGTACCTTTTATATACATTATATAGTTTTGAGACCAAGAAGTATATTTTGTAAATATTAAGGTGCGAGATGCTGCAAAACAAGCTGAAAGACAAGCTGCCATTATAGAGAACTTCAAAAAAAGAACTAGTAAAGTGACTGTGATTAGATGATGTGAAAGAGTGTGTAGAGAAAAACAGTGGGTGGACACTGGATCCATTAGGGGATTTGAAAAACAAGAGAAAACTTCAGATTGGCAAAGGTAAAACAAAGCAGGAGTTTATGGTGCCTTTCCATTTCATGTATTTTATAAGTAATAGACATCTTAGGAACAGTGGCATTACATTTTGCTGTGCATAAAAAGTCATCCCAGATAATGTGCCTGTTTATCTTTTTTTTTTTTTTTTTTTATTTTATTTTATTAGGTAAGATGCAACGCCTTCAGACCAGAATCTGCGAGGGAGCAAATATATACTGGAGCTCACAGCCCTCCTCAGTTCAGGTAGTGCAAATATGGTATTTCCTCAGTGTACACACAGAATCAATCACTGCAGAACAGAAGTGCAGAAATATAGCATTTTAAGAGGGGTTTAAGAGCAAGCACAAAATTGGATTGTGCTCTTGGTTTAGATGGAAATTGAACTGCTTTTATTAGCTTATCTCTCACTATTATAAATGCTCTTCTGTAAAATTGAGGAGCTTGCATCTACCTTCAAAAGCATTTGAACCAGAACACACTCTGATCCCTGTGATGTCCTGTAATCATGGCCTGAGTACCTGAAATGCCTCATCTATCACTTTCTTTCCCTAAGCAATCCCAGTTTAGAAAACAGTGAATATAAGGAGGGGCCTTGATTTAATCTGTCTGAGTTCATTAAAAGCTCTTTTGTCTCGACCTTGAATTACATTGATAAAGCAAAGCAAAAGGCGCCCTGTGAGTTCAGTTCAAGCCCTGACTCCTCCATTGGCCTTGCAGTGACACTGTTTGAAGAAGCTGTGGTGGTCCAGCCATAACAGAGGGAGCCTGTCCTGGCCCAAAGGCTCCTCTGGCCACAGACACTCATGAACTCCCTGCCATGGGAAGGGGGAAATTTTAGAGACCACATAGGAATTAGGAAGCCAGAGTTTATTTTTCTGCTTCTTCACCAAGAACATGTTGGGTTTGTTGGGATTTATGTTGGTTGCATTTACTTAACTAAGAATTCTGTGTTTGCCCTTGGTCAAGTACTATATTACCTCTTTATTTGGACAAAGGATGTTATATCCACAACAAAATTAACACAATACAGTGGATTATTTGCCTTCTAGAGAATCTCAGCACTTTCTGTTGACTGAAAGAGTGTTATACCAGCTAGTAAGTAGTGCAGTATGCAAATCTGTATGCCTTTTGACGTTGAAAATACATCATGACAATGAGAACAGAAGCATCAGACTGACCTTCAGCCTACAGAGATATTATTTTTATAATTCCTACCCATGTTAAGATTTTGGTGAAATAACCATCTGTTGTCTTTTAAAATCTTCAGGTTTATTTATCTATACATATATTTATATTCTGAATAGTTTCACAGCTACATTCCCATGAGATGGTGATACACATGCAACTCTAGGGATAGAGTATTTATTAGGAAAACTCCTGAAGGCATCAGGCTATGAAAGAAAATTTCAGAGCTTAGGTTAATTTGAGATCTAGAAAATATAGACAAAACTTTTTCTTAGTTTTTCTGCGAGATACTGAGAACTGGCTTCTGTTTGACAACTGAAAAAAAGCAGTGGTGCTTGCCTCCTTGCAAATCATATCAGCTGGGCCAAAAAAAATATCTTATCTATTTCTCTCAGCTTGGTTTCATTTATGTCCCAAGAAGCATAAGCATAACTGCAATACAGCTAGCTCCAACACTGACAGCTCTTTCTGTCCAAAAAGCTCAAACAGCCCTTTAAAAAGTAATCATAAAAGGTAACAATAAAAATTATAGAAATGAACAACACATGTCTTGAGCACAGATGTATGCATCTGAACTACTCACACCAGTTTCTCTTCAAAGTCAAAAAGGAAATGTCACTTTAGAAGTTAATATATATATAAATAATCTTTCAGCAGGTAATAAATTTAAATTACCTAGACTCTGCAAGTACATCTTTCTATTGATTACCAAGGGAGGCCAGTGTGACCTGCTCAAGGAAAGGTGTCTCTGCTATAATTCAATGGGATGAAATCCAGACACTCCACTCTGATTTCAGTTAATGAGTGGCCAAATCAAACCATGGGTAGAAAAGTGGCGTGCATGCACACATAAAGATTTTTTCACTGGATAAATTCCAGGTTTACTTGTTTTTAATTGGCAGATTTTCAGTATTAGCACGTGTCTTTGCTATTTTTGAATGCCAATTTCAGATTGAAATCCCTGGCATGGCAGGCAGAACTCCCACCAACATCAGCAGCAGCTCTGCATGACCAACTCTTGCTGTTCCAGCCCCTGAATATGTATCTGCAATTTTTTTTTTACACTAAAGCTGCGTATCTTATTTGAAGCCTAACCTAATTTGGTAATCTTTGCTACAAAACTGACCTTTAGGCATTTTTGTGCCAGATGACTGCAAATTTTTTTACTCACAGAAAGTCTAATCAATGTAATAAAAATATTTTCTACCATGCTGAGCTACACTGAGAAGTAAATTGTCTGCAATATAGAAAAAATGCCTCCTCACTGCATAACAGAGGCAAGGTATACAACTGCTATCACAGGAGATGTTTTTTCTGCTTTTAACTCAGAAAACTTTGCAACCATTACAAGTTTCAGGTTAGTAATCCCAAGATGGTTGAAAGCATAGGAAAAAACAGCAAACAACACAACTGCAATCTAGCAAAGGTAAAATAATAGTTTCTGACTGCACCAAATAATGCAGACATGAAAGCAGGAGCCAAGGATGACTGCATGCAAGGACCAGCTCCTCCCCTATGCCCAAAGGTGCCAGTCTGGAATGCAGGCACATTGTCCAGCTTGTGTCAGGCAGGGATGTGCTGCTCTTTCAGTATCACACCACCTGTGGTAGAAGCAAGAGAGCGTGGGAGCTGTTCAGGGCAGCAGGCTCAGAAAATATATTTCCAAAATATCAGAGGAGTCAGGATGCTCGCAGGTGCAAGGCTGAGCAGCCCAAAAAGAGCTGTAAAGTCCCAGGGAGCCAGTGTGTGTGGGTGTGGATGTGTGTGGGTGGGCAGAGCTTGCTGTTAGGAGAATCTGGAGCCCCATGAAACCACTGCCAGCACAAGCCCAGTGTGTGCTGACATCCTCCTGCCTGCTGCACTGCAGCTGCCTGGCAGGGCTGGAAGAGCAATTCCACCCTGCACAGCTACTGCTGATCTCCCACCTGTGCTGCAAGGGTTACACTAGAAAATTGTTCTAAAGGATACAGTATCACAAAATGAATTTGGTTTTCCTAAAGTTTCTAGCAAAGCAAGATGTTTCTCAAAGCATGAAACTATATTTGCTTCATATTAACTTTAACTAGGAGCCCTTCTCCTGAACCTTTTGCTTTTATTTGTGGGGAAAATGATATGAAAGCCTGAAAATTCAGCCTGAAGTGAAAACACTGAAACACTTGCAGACCTGTAGTGTTTGACAAAAGGCAGCCTGCATGTCAATCACCTTTCTCTTTGCAGAGTGATCGGATCCATGAGCAACTTTGAGGAGTTCCGCAAGGCGTTCAACTGCGCGGCGAACACGACGATGAACCGCGGGGCGCAGTCCTGCCGCCTCTGGTAGCTGTTCCTGCCGGCCCTTCTCTCAGGAGCCTGCAACTGAACTGCCCAAACCCATTGCCAGAGTTTCAGAATGATGCTCTGAAATACGGAGAGGTGTTACTTCAGAGGTGTCTTCCTCACCCCTGTTGACGATCTGCATGGATCCGATCATTCCTTACTTAGAGCCTAGAAACATTCCAAATAGAAGAGCTTTTCTTTAAGTATAATAATAAAAAGTAACTTCTTTTAACCATAAAACTACTCCAGCTCATCTGCAGTATCACTGTTGTTGATGGATAACTGCCATTATCAATTCTAATTCCTGATTTATAGTTGAGCAAGATGTAAATGCTAAAATCCAGTTTTAATCTATTGCTCTGCAGGGGTTCTATGCAGAATGCTCCCACAGTAAAATTTATTCTTTCTGGATGAAGAAATTCATGAGACCTGCTATAAAGCCAGCTCTGATCTGCTGCGTGATACTGCATTTTCATAACTTAAGCTGTCACTGCCCAGCATGCCATAAATGATGTTGCATGATGTAAAGACACAAGACTTTATATTAGTTCAGTTTAATATGTCAGATTAGTGCCTCTGGTTTTGGAACAGATTCAAGCTGAGAAAGTACCTCATGGTATTCATCTGTAGGACTAAAACATAAAGGATGCTTGTCAGATCATGGCCTCTTCTAATTTTAGAACAGCTTATGATAAAAATCAATGTATGGTGAAAATCAGAGGCTCTCAGAGGGGATTCCCAGCACCACGATACTCATAAATATTGCAACATTTATTCTGGTTTACAGTGTAGGCAGTTTTTTTCCCAGCACCTTGTGCTGAAGATAGCTTCATCTATATTTATTTTTTCTAAGCCAGAAATACTATACCAGTTTTAAATGATGGATTTTATTGTTTCTGAGTCTTACATGGCATTTTAAGTAGTGTGTGTGTTTGCCCTCATGTTCTGGATGGGGCAGGATGACTCGTGATTTTAAGGTAAGAGTTTGTGACAGGAAAACAGAATACCGCCACCATTTGACTTGTCTGGATAAAAAGAGCAATTGAGGAGTAGAGGACTTAAAAATACAGTAAAAATACAGACCAGTTGAGTTTACAATTTGATTTTTAAGAATATTCATGAAAAGATATTTTATTACAGCAGAAATCTTTAACCCATAACTATTACTGGGGGGGACGAGATGCGGGGTGAGGGAGGACGCACACACAGAGCTCTTTTTTCCTATCAGAAAGGTACCTATGTGAGTGGCATCTATTTATATTTTTGTGCATTATTTCCTTTTTACATGGTGGAATTATTTCAAAAGGAGTTTCTTTAGACTGATTTAATTACTGCAAATATATCTGGAGTAATATACATGTGTATATACATATATCCAAAATATAAGTATTATATGCTTTTATTTTATTTTATTTTATCAGTATAGAAATGTTAGTAAGAGAAACTTTTTCTTACAAGAATTGTTCAAATACTGTTGGATAAATACTTGGTTGGATGGTCCAGAGGGTGGTGGTCAGTGGCTCAGAATTCCAAGGGACGCTAGTGACAAGTGGTGCCCCTCAGAAGTTCATACGGGCACCAGTGCCATTTAATATCTTCATTAATGACAGATAAAGGGATCAAGTGCACCCACAGCAAGTTTGCAGATGGCACCAAGCAGAGTGGAGTGGTTGTCACACCTGAAGGATGGGATGGCATCCAATGGGACTTGGACAATGAGAAGTGGCTCACGGGAATCTCATGAGGTTTAACAAGACCAAGTGCAAGGGCTGCCCCCAGGTCTGGGCGACTCCTGGTACCAACAAAGTCTGGGGATGAACAGATCAAGAGTGGCCCTGCCCAGCAGGACTTGGGGTGCTGGTGGGTGAGAGGCTGGACATGACCCAGCAACAGGCACGTGCAGCCCAGAAAACCAACACTGTCCTGGGCTGCATCCAAAGCACTGAGGGCAGCAGGGCAAGGGAAGGGAGAGAAGGCCACCAAGATGATTAGAGGGATGGAGCACCCCTCCTATGAGGAAAGGTTGTGAGAATTGGGATTGGTCAGCCTGGAGAAGGGAAGGCTTCAGTGTGACCTAAATTTCAGCCTTCAGTACCTGAAGGGAAGCTCAAAGAAAGGTGGAGAGGAATTTTCACAAGGGCATGTAGTGACAGGACAAGGGGCAATGGCTGTAAACTGAGAGTAGCTTTGGATTAGATGCCAGGAGGAAGTTCTTTACTGTGAGGGTGCTGAGGCACTGGAACAGATGGCTCAGAGAAGTTGTGGGTGCCTCATCGCTGGAAATGTTCGAGGCCATGTTGGAGGAGGCTCTGAGCAACCTGGTGGAAGTGCAAGGAGGTGACCTTGCCCATGGCAGGGGGCTGGAATTCGATGGTCTTTAAGGCCCCTTACAACCCAAATCATTCTATGAATCTGTGATTTTCCAACAGTCATGGTGGAGGAAGGTTTACTGAAGCTAACTAACTGAAACAAATTGGGTTATTTTCCTGTGGGTCTTTAGAAAGAAGGGAGTCATAATGGAAGCATAATTTATGGAAAAGGACAGGATCTCAAACTACCTTGCAGAGTGAAGGAAGCAGACATTCATGTCTTTAAGGCTATGTTGCCTCTTTTTAGAAACAAAATATTGTGATTTGGGACCAGAACATTCTTTTATCTTTTTTCCCTGAAAAATTCAAAGATTTCTTAAGAGGAAAGCATTTTCCCTTCCTGCATTCCAGCTCAGTTCCTGAGTTCTATGGATTACAATTTATCATTTGGATTGCCACTACTAAACTTTTTCCTGGAGATATTTTTCCCATAAATAATGGTGGCAGCATTTTCATGGAGCTTTTCCTCAAACAAGCAAACTGAGTATGTACTGACTTTATTTCTGTGCTCATACAAGCACTGACATGACTTGATGTTGGCTGCTTTGGATCAACAGCACAAAGTTCAGGGTTGATGTCCTGGCCCAATTAAAGGTACTACCAATATGGTTGTTGTCCTCAGAAAAATCAGGACATCAACTCAGGCACTTATCTGAATTTTTTAAATTGCTGGAATATGCAAAGACAGTTTCACAACAGACAACTCTATGTTTTCTAATTTTATCTCTCAAATCAGAGATGTATTTGCAAGAATTTCTCTCTCATGGTTATTTTCCAGTGGGACAGATTCTGTTATTTTGTGATTTATGAAGTTGTTTCTCTGTACTGGATTGGATTTTTTTCTAAAATGTCTGATGTTTCTTGCCTTAAATGTCACTCTTCCTGCTCCCTATTAGGCTCAGGTCTTTCATGTTTAATACCAGGGATTTCTGCATGGTAGTGTGTGTATTCCCAATGGCACAGGAACCACTGCCAACTCTTTCATCCTTGCTGGGCCACCTCCTGCAGCAGGCAGGGGCCAGGTCTGGGCTGGGGGGACAGTGGGGAGCTGGGTGTTTTGGGGGCAATGCACTGGGAGAGAGGAAGAGAGAACATGACCTGATTTTGTACCCTGATTTTGGCAGCTGAGAGGGTACCCACACGCTGCTGGGGGAAGCCAGAAGTCCTTGCTGCTGACGGGTACATTCATCAGTTGTATCCTAATTCAGGAAATTCTTGCTGTTGACTCAGGTTCTCATTGTCTGGGGTTTAGGTCTTGCCTGTGTCCACACAAGGACCCTGGCCTGCCTCACCTGCTGCTTTTTACCTCAAACCAAAGAGTTCATCATACAATTTACAGTTCACTTTGGATAAGCTGCTTAGGTACCATTTGGAAAGCAAAGCAGAAGGTAATTAAACAAGTTCTTAAAACTTTTGTCATCAAAGACAGCCAAGACATTAGTGATGGTTTGTGAGGGCTCTGCCCATTGTCTCTGTTTTATCAGAGCACCTGGCTGTGCTTTGTTTTTGCATTGTGCCTCCTGGGTCTGTGCCAGCAGTGCCTTCCTGCATTGCTCTCAGGTTCACTTATTACATCTATGCAAACAAATCCTTCATCACAAAAATCCTTTTCCCAGAGCTTTAAAATTGTTATTTTGCTTAATTGTCAAATAATATATCAGTAATTTTGGGAAATGTTTCTTCATGTTGGCTCAGTAATCTACTTCTGCAGTGACCAGGAGGGATCACCTATGAATGAAACATTTTTACCTTTGTAAATCTGAACAGATATTTTTCTACTGTGTAGACATAAAGAAACAGCCTCTACTCCTGTCCCATGTCTCCTTCTTCATGTCATAAAAATATGGAAACCTATTCTCTTCTAGTTAATCTAGTCTAGATTTTTGTTTTATTTTGTTTTTGTTTTGTGTAAGCCTGAAATGTTAAAACACCAGTTTATACACTGTGAATATTTCTGCTGATCATATTGTGGAAGACTAAGCTCTCTGAAAAGGCAGCTGGGCTATTCACCTGTATAAACTGCTTAGGTGCATAAATGATGTCCAAGCTGGGTCTGGCCACCAAAGGACCAAAAAATCTCAGCTGAATTATAAAACTCTGCCTCATGCCCTGTGCAGCTGGACTTCACTATTCTTTAGGTAGGAACATTATCATGTCACTAATTGGTTGAATAATTTATAAAATAATCAGGTAGGTCTGCATATAACTTTTCATTGAGTATTATTCAATTAAAAACTTGGAAGTATATCTCATAACAATGTTATATGTTATATGTATATATATATATATACACATGTATCTGTCAGTGAAATGTTAAAAGCCTGAGAACTCAGGAGACAGAACTATAGTGATTTAAAATGTCTTTTGTCTTTACATCTTTTTAATCTGATTTTTATTTACTGGTCAGTCTACTGTACATTTGAATTTTTCTACTTGCATAGTACATTGGTTGACTGTTTTAAAGACAATTGTGTTAGCAAATAAAGCTGAAGTGATGAAGAATTTTCCTATGCTTGCAGTATGGTAAAACCTGTTTGGCTTGGCACTGTCCAACTCTACAATATTACTTCTATAATATATAGTCTTAATGAGATGTAATAAAGAGCATAATGATGTGGCCTTAGGTTCTCAAGAC